GGAAAACTTCGTTGATATTGCAGATCAGCAGAGAAGACAGTGTGACTCGGCCATGCACATACTTTACCAATAAAATGAGCTCTTTAAACCAAACTAATAATTATATATGTTGATCGGAATCGCAAACTATTTTTTTAATCTTAGAACCTACGTTCAAATGAGCTTACTTAAAATTAATAAGTATGTTAATAAATTTGAATTCTCCTCTGAAAACGCCACTGTACAGGAAACTTTGCAAGACTCTTAAATGCAGTGGTAAATTTTGACCTAGCTGACCTTCGCGTGTAATTCATAAGGTATTGGAATTAGTTTTAGCATATATGTTAAACGACATAGCTAAATTAAAATAGACAGTGTCAAAAGAGCACAAAGAGCATTATAAACACGGATACACAAAACTGCCGCTTACGCCGAGGTAATTGCACGGTAACGCTCCTGACCAGCAGTATCCCATATTTGGGCTTTAATTATCTTTCCATCCACATTAATGCTCCTGCAAGATAAAATGACCTAAAAGAGATAAACCTGGTAGCGAACTCCACACCGATTGTCGTTTTACTCTCCAAGTTAAATTCATTACGTGTAAAACGCGAGAGCAAATTGCTCTTTCCCACACCGGAGTCACCTATCAATACAACTATAAATAAGTTATGATAAAATAGTAAAAAACGGTATGTACTTTTAAAGAGGAAATCATACTCGTCGTCTTTCGATACCATCCTCTGACGGAAGTTCGTGCGAATATAACGCAAGGGGATTAACTAGCCGCAAAATATTCCAGAGATTAAAACAAAATTAATCACTTTTATCAGGAACTAATTTTTTTAACTTTTTAAAATTTATTTCATGCTAATTATCAATTCTTTAGTTATAGACTGCACATAAATCATCATGCTGTCGGACGTGATTGTTGCGAGGTTGGTCGTTCAACCCTAATCGATTTGAGTAGTACCCTGTTCATTAATGGACTGGCCGTTTTAAACTTTAACTTGTAAGTTACACCGTCTCTAATAGTCTCCGTTGGTTAGCAAACACGATCCCATATTTGATGAGGAATCTTCAAACATTGGTATAACAGATTTGATCATTTTATGTCCAAC